TGTTATGCATCTGTATACTGAGATGATTATATCCAAGTTTCATGTCATTCGAAGGTGTATTCATTTATTTTTTTATTAAATAAAGGTGAAATTAGAAAGTAAAAAATATTGAGATAACAGCCACATCCTTTGGCCGATTATGCTGAAAAAATTTCCAGACACCTCTGACATAATTCTTAAGACATCTATTGAAGTGGAATTTTGATTTTCCTTATAATTTAGGGAGGAAAAATTACTAAATGTTCTTCCTTGTCTATAATACATTTGTAATCTTTTAAAAAATATATTCTAATAGAATTTTTTTCTCTTTAAAATTATATATATTTGATTAAAATTGCGCTAGTAGTTTTGGAGTTATCTCGAGAAACGGTACAGTTTTTAGTTTTCGAGATAAGGCTCTTCAAAGTTTTTTTGTTGTTGTCCCCATTTCTTACCTCGTCCGATTCACTTGACATTTTAGAGTCTTTGCCATAGATCTAGCACCTGGTTCCCCTTCTAAAAGGTTTTATTCGCTCGACGGCCACTCTCAGAATCTACACTTGCTGATGTACGATAATTTATTAAAGATGCCAGTGAGCGCCATATTAAATCGAATTCCTGCTTTGTTTTTTTAGTAATGTTGTATTAATGAGAGTAAATTTGATGTGAAAACCCCGTAGATTTTATAATCATTTATTCACATATGTCAATTCAATTTCAATTTCAATTGTTTATTCCTTGATAGAGGAAGAGGGATCCTAGTGCTGTCACTAGGTACCCCTGTACAATGACACCAGAAGCATCTGGCAAGTGTCACAAGTATATACAGTATAAATATTATAAGGGGGCTTACTAAAGCCTAAGGAAGGAAGGATATTCCTTTAACACATAATCAATATTATTTACATAATATCTGGCCAGTATGGGGAGGATCATCGTGTCTCCGTCAGGGGGTCGTGGAGTGGTGGTCCAGCAGGCGTCACGGAAGCGTTGTGTGTGGGGACATCTTAGGTGGTAGTGGATAAGGGTGCTGCTGTCGGGTCTTCTGCATAACGCACAAGAGCGTTGCTCAGGGGATGCGGGGATACCAATCTCCCAAGGAAAGTCATACCCAATGATGATACGGGCAGCAATCACGTCCCCTTTCCGCGACCCTTTCCCGTAGACGTACGAGAGGTCAGGAAGTTTACGGAGGACATCGTACCAGGTGGGCGGGGAGTCCAGGGGGATGGCTGCTTCCCGAGCTTCTCTCTGTTTGCGGCGAATTTGGGTCCTAATCTGTAAGAGTGTTCGAGGAACAACGTAGTCAGGTGTGGCCTTGTTGCAGCCAGTCTTGGCAAGGCCATCTGCTGCCTCATTCCCCAAGATACCGACATGACTGGGTATCCATAGGAATGTCACAAGACGGCCTGCATCCTGAAGTGTGGATGTTAACCCTTGTATTCGGAGGATGAGGTCCTTATTTTTCCCTGATCCAAATGCGATCCCGTCGAGAGCAGACCTGGAATCGCATCACAGATGTCTTATGTACAGTCGTACAGCGTGACACAGATGGCTAACACAGGTGCAATGAGACAGGAACCGTGTACGACCGAATGAGATATATGCAGTTACAGGGGGGAGGGGGTTTCACTTCAAATTCACTCTCATAATACAACATCTTAAATGTATTGTAACATGGAAACTATGCAGAATCTGACATTTTACCATAGAAACATTGAGGTTTAGAATTATCCCAGGATTTCATCCTCCAATTTAATGCACTATTTGCTGAATCACCCTGTATACACATGAGAATGTTTTCCGCAGCATTTCTCTTGGCCAAATTCATTACTGGAGACACAATAATACAAGGTATGATGATTGCAATATGTTAGGTCATGCAGATCATTGCTATTAATAGACAGTGGGAATACTACGGAGCTGGTGCATGACCTTGTAGCATCCATGCCGAACAGGCTACAGGCCGTAACTGAAAGGCCTGGCGACTGATTTAATAATTTTGCTGACATTATGTGTTATGCATAATTTATGTAATCTATAGAATACATTGATTGAATCATTGTTTTATTTTTTAATTGGAAATTTATCTACAAAGATATTGAGTGTCCTGTATATAATATTAACTAGGCAACATTTATGGTTACCTATACGAGTATAACTAAAACAAAAATATGGTCATGCTACTTTTATCTTCTTTTCCCATTAAACGCTAATCAGTCTACAGTATGTTGTGACCTTCTTCCTGTTGTGACACTTTTATATTAATTGTGTCATCTATTGTAGGGATCAAGCCATGGTTACATGCAGTAGACCCTTTGATAAAGCCATTATCACGGAGGGTGATAAAGCATTCTCTTATGAATCATATTATTCCTCACATTCATGCTTAGTTTTCTGGTTACCATTCTGAGGAACAATACAACTTGGAGGATTCTGATATCGTTGCGAACCCCAGCCACCAAAACACACACTGCACTATGTCATGATTATCTAATAATGATGTAACCTATAATGTCAAATAATGTAAAGCTTAATTGAATAACTTGTTTCGTGAAGTTATTAACAAAACAATGACATCCTTCCTTAGTCCTTATTGAGAAATGGAAGTATCAGAGGTCGATTGTTGAATGCCAGGGTGCTTGTTTGTGTGTGTGTGTGTAGAGAGGGAGGGAGGGAGGGAGAGAGGCGATGGCTGGACAGCGAGCCTTCGCCCAGTAAGGGTGGGCGAATTTTACATCACCCATCTTGACTGTTGTGAGATATTTTGTCTGAGTATGTATGTATGTATGTATGTATGTATGTATGTAGAAATCTGCAAACTCATAGCATGAGAAAAAGTAATTGGATTAAGGTGGCTCGTGAAACGTTATGGGTGAGTGTCAAGGTCAAGGTTAAAGCGAAATGTTCAATGATGTCTTAAACAATTCCCCTGAAGACAGTTGTGGACAATGTTCCCATGTATACAGATAATGCTAACCCAGTACTACCTGTTTGTAAGGTATATTTCTCTCATATCTTGGTCAATTCACCACCTGTATAATGCTCTCAACCACATAGGAAGTAATTACTGCACCTGTAATTATTACCTTAATCAGTACTGTCACTAGATGGGATTTACTTTACCTGTAACTTGTACCTATACTTGTATTTATCGTATTTAGGTTAAAGTTTCATCTTTATATCACTATCATCACATTTGCGCATTTGCATACCTGTACCTGTATATCTACGTCTGTACTTGTGTAGATATTTCTGACTCACTTACCTCTGGATCACTGAATTCTCGGAAACGTCTCGAGACTCAAGTGTAATTGGTGAGTATTCTCTACTGGGTTGACAAGTTCCCCTTTATATGTTAAAGTGGAACACCTGAGCCGGAGGTGACGCCCACACACACACACACAGACACACACACACACTCGGTTTCCAGGAAAGACTCACAATCTACCTCTGTTCAAAAACATACTAAGAAATGTTAAATAGTTCTTCACGTCACAAATATATATCTATATATATATATATATATATATATATATATATATATATATATATATATATATATATATATATATATATATATATATATATATATATATATATATATATATATATATATATATATATATATCGCACTTTGAGGCCCGTATTTTTATGTTAACGCAGTCATAAATTAAAATTGTCCAGGGTCAAGTTAATCACAAGTTGTAAGCATAAGGCGCGACCGATCACTTACGACATCAAGGTAAAAAAGCTGGTGTGTGACCTATATATAATATTACTGACGTGTAAGAACGATTACATTGTTCCTTATTTCACTCAATTCAAAGTTAAAACTCAAATTCCCTGACCACTAGAATATATGTATCATGCTTGTACCAACTTACCTAGGAATTTTAGGCAATGTAATGATCTCTTTTTGATAATGATTGTGACTCAAGTGATACAAAACTCAGGTCTAATTCTTCAGTAATTAACTCTTGATTCATTTAATAATTGCTGAAATCTAACACTGAGAGCAAGTCATCAAATATTAAAGTTGTTCATGAATATGTACTGATGAAGTTAGCGACTGTTATCCCCATGAAACTGACAGCAATAAACTTTTTTCTTCAAATTTACTAGACACTGACGGACGAGGAAAAAATCACTTGATCATTAGGTAAAAAAATATATACAACTCTTGTAAAGGTGAATTATTATATTCAATTCATTCTTAGGGTTTGGGAGAGTGTGTCATAATATAAGATTCTATTTATGAATGTTTTGTTTCAATGTAAAATAATATACAGTATATCCACTACGGTTAACAGATCACTTGATAGTCACTACAGGGAGAAACTTTATCATGATCTTGTAAACTGGGATCATGTTAATTCTACCTCGTGTTGGACAATACCTCACTGTGGACAGTACCTTATAATAGACATTACCACATGGCAGACAGTATCTAATGGTGGACAATACCATATAGTGGACAGTACCTAATGTAAGTCATTACCTCATGTTGGACAGTAGCTCATATTCGGCAGTACCTCATGGTGGATATTACTTCATGGTGGGCAGTACCTCATGGTGGATAATACCTCATGGTGAGTAGTACCTCATGGTGAACAGTACCTAATGGCGGACAATACAGTACCTCATGGCAGACAATACCTCATGGCAGACAATACCTCATGGCGGACAATACCTCATGGTGGGCAGTACCTCATGGTGGGCAGTACCTATGGTGGACAGTACCTCATGATTATAAAACTTGTATATACCCTTGTGTTAAGTTAATATACAGAATATTTAAACTTTACATTTATATTTCTTTCTAAAGTTTATTCAATATTTCTTGTGTTTAAATTGAACAATATTTCTTTCGTTGTAAAGTTTTGTTGGTTTGTCAAGAGCATTACTGTATGTTTTAATTATTTACAGCATTTATGATGATGATGATGATAAGGATGATGATGATTCTTGTATTCATCATCAATATAACAGTGTATATGTATGGATATAAAAAGCTTTCCTTCATATCATAGAATATTTATTAGAACAATAAAATATTATTAAATTGTAATAATGTTGTATTTGAAGTAATGTTATGATGCATATACACTTACACCCACTCCAGGTTTAAGACGGGAGGATAACTGGAGAAGTGACACTTACTGTTAGCTGATATATAAAAGGTATGTACAAGAGGAAGGTCAAATAGAAAAATAAATGTTGATTATTATGATATAGAGTTGTTATATAATATAGATATTACTGTTAAATCGGGAACTACTTGTGCCACCACCTTCTCTGCTTCCACCTTCTCTGCTACCATCTTCTCTGCTTCCATCTTCTCTGCCACCACCTGCATTACGACCGACTCCATCCCTACCACCACCTGCACCAACACTTATACTACCACCTACGCCTGCACTGCCACCTACACCAGTTCTGTCACTTATACGTTCACTACCACCTACACATGCACTGCCACCTACACCTGTACCAATCAACTACACCTGTTCTGTCACCTACACATGCACTACCACCTACACCTGTACTACCACCTACACCTGTTCTGTTACCTACAACTGTTCTATCACCTACACCTGCACTACCACCTACACCTGCACTATCACCTACACCTGCACTGCCACCTACACCTGTTCTGTCACCTACACCTGTTCTGCTACCTACACCTGCATTACCACCTACACTTGCACTACCACCTACACCTGCACTACTACCAACACCTGCACTACCACCTACACCTGCACTACACCTTGCATCTACTACCTACACCTGCTACTACCTACACCTGCTACACTACACCTGCACACTACACCTGCACTACCACTACCACCACACCTGCACTACCACACACCACCCTACCACCTGCACCTACACTACCACAACACTGCACCACCACCTGCTACCAACACCTGCACTACACCTGCACACTACCAACACCTGCACTACCACCAACACCTCACTACCACCACTGCAGCACCTGCACACCTACACCTGCTACCACCAACACCTGCTGCCCACCTGCACTACCACACTACACCTGCACTACCACCTACACCTGCACTACCACCTACACCTGCACTACCACCTACACCTGCACTACCACCAACACCTGCACTACCACCAACACCTGCACTACCACCAACACCTGTACACCTGCTACCACCTACACCACCGCCACCATCAACAAACACTCCAGCTCGGCACTCCTCTTATAACCTGTATTAATGAAACTGTGGCTTTTTAGACTGCCGAATAAAATATTTGTTGACAATTAAACTGTCCAGCCATGACAAAGGGAAGAGAGCGAGAGTTTGACGTCACACCTTATTTGTGGAACTCTGGCAGGCGGTGTCGAGAAAAAAACCTTCAGGAGAGTGATTCGAGAGGCCTCTGAGAACGTCATTTACCTCCTCGCTACACAATCTCCTCTACAGGGAACCTCTTGTATACTATAGCTCATTCATGCCTATTGTGTCATGACCTTCCTTTATATGAAGGATATTTTCATCAACTGACCGCTGGTTACTTCTACTAGCGGGGGATGTCTTCTGTTTACACACACACACACACACACACACGCACACGTGTACAGAGAGAGAGAGAGAGAGAGAGAGAGAGAGAGAGAGAGAGAGAGAGAGAGAGCGATTCTCTTATGGTCACCAGGTAAAAGTAATGGACTATCGCTTGCTACCCTGTGTCATGGCCGCCAGACAATAACATTGCATTAAGCATCAGGTACTCTGGCGTCGTGTTAAAAAAGCAAAATACACGCGTACGTGGACATGACGTGCGGGAAGTTGGCTCTTGACCACCATGACCGGTAAGTGAGGAACAATGAACTCAGGTAATGCCCCGATACGTGTAGATTCTGCCACACACACACACACACACTGTCTCAACCTAATCCTAAATTGGTTCTAATTTAACCTAACCTAACTTAATGGCAGGAGCATACAATGATAAACAAAACGTCCACTTTTCATGCCCCACATACGAGTGGATTTTGATCTTCAGAGACAGATCCTGCACTGTTTTATTGTCTTAGAGAGATTCCCTTCTGAGCGAGGACGCTTAAGGTGGGCTGTGATGTGGAGGAAAGACTCTCCTATGTATTTCCATTCTTGAGGGTCGACTGTATGAGATGTAAGGGGCTAGCCAGGTCATTATAGTCCCCAGGATGAGATGTGACACCCAGTCGATGCGTCTGTGTCTTTCTGGAGAATATTTTCGGTGCAGAAGAGTCTGTTGAGGGATGATATAAAGTCTGTGGCTCTGTGGAGGAGCTGTCTGCTTGTGTAGTGTAATCTTCTATAACTTGTGTAGAGTAGGGCTCAGAAGTCTGTGTAGGGTAGTGTTCTGTAGTCTGTGTCTGTGTAGGGTAGTGTTCTGTAGTCTGTGTCTGTGTAGGGTAGTGTTCTGTAGTCTGTGTCTGTGTAGGGTAGTGTTCTGTAGTCTGTGTCTGTGTAGGGTAGTGTTCTGTAGTCTGTGTCTGTGTAGGGTAGTGTTCTGTAGTCTGTGTCTGTGTAGGGTAGTGTTCTGTAGTCTGTGTCTGTGTAGGGTAGTGTTCTGTAGTCTGTGTCTGTGTAGGGTAGTCCTCTGAAATTCGCTCCTCTGTAGGATAATTTTGTATCTGTGTAGTGTAGTTTTCAGTGGCTTGTGTCTGTGTAAAGTAATTTTCTATAGACTGTGTCTGTGTTGGGTAGGGTTATGTAGTTTGTGTAGGGTAGTGTTCTGTAGACTGTGTCTGTGTGGCGTAGTGTTCTGTAGTTGTGAAGGGTAGTGTTCTGTAGACTGTTTCTGTGTAGGGTGTGTTCTGTAGACTGTGTCTGTGGGGTAGTGTTCTGTAGACTGTGTCTGTGTGTAGTGGTTTGTAGTGTTCTGTGTGTTCTGTAGTAGTGTTCTTGTGACTGTGTCTGTAGGGTAGTGTTCTGTAGACTGTGTGCTGTGTGGGTAGTGTTCTAGTCTCTGTGTCAGGGTAGTGTTCTGTAGTCTGTGTCTGTGTAGGGTAGTGTTCTGTAGTCTGTGTGGGGTAGTGTTCTGTAGTCTGTGTAGGGTAGTAGTGTTCTGTAGTCTGTGTCTGTGCAGGGTAGTGTTCTGTAGTCTGTGTCTGTGCAGGGTAGTGTTCTGTAGTCTGTGTCTGTGCAGGGTAGCGTTCTGTAGTCTGTGTCTGTGCAGGGTAGTGTTCTGTAGTCTTTGTCTGTGCAGGGTAGTGTTCTGTAGTCTGTGTCTGTGCAGGGTAGTGTTCTTTGGTTCGTTCCTCTGTAGGGTAATTTTGTTTCTGTGTAGTGTAGTTTTCAGTAGCTTGTGTCTGTGTAAAGTAATTTTCTGTAGTCTGTGACTGTGTGGAGTACTGATCTTCCACAGTCGAAAGTGTGAAATATTTCTCGACTTCACTGTGATTTGCCTCCCCATCTCTCATTTGAGGAGAGAACGACGGATGGTGCTGAGTGTCTCCGCTAGAGGAGGTTGTTGGTGATATCGTTAATGTGTCTTGTGTCGTCTGTTTGTCGTGGGTATATTCTACGACCCCAAGAGCTTCATTAACAACAGGATAGTTGTCAGAAACGTCAGAACTATTCAAGCTGTCAACATTTCCAGATGGATTCTCAAATACAAAAGCTTTGACTGTGGACGTGGTGTTAGTGTCAAATGACTGGCTGATGTTTCGTTGCCAGTCATTTTCTTTGTCTGCGGTACTTATACCAGCTTCAGATGACTGGTTGTTGCTCTGGTGCCAGTCGTTCACATTGTAGTTGCCAGTGTGTGCAGGCTCAGAGACTGAATCCTGAGACACTTCCTTGACACCTGCAGTATCGCGTTGGTCTTCAGTCGGCTGATGGTTAGGAGTATCATAATCGACCATCGGCTCACTGACGGAATCTACTTCGTGAGCTTCATTTTCAGCGGGCAAGGGAGGGTAATCAGCAAGTTCGCTCCATCTGTTACCATTATCTTGATCTATGTTACTTGATGATATTAATGAAGGACTGTTAGAAGGAGCTGCGAAGACGCGTATTAATGGATGAAGAAATGAATCAGTGGGTGATAATGGCTGCAGATTTTTCTCATCTACACCAGACGTATTGTAAGAATGTGTGTCGTAGGTTACTACTCCATGCATAGTGACTGACACAGGTGAGAGAGTCCTAGTGCTGCTGTCCTGAGAAGTTCTGGAGGGGGAGTAGATACTCCTGAAAAGAGGAAGAATTGTCGTCGTGGGAGTCTGGTAGAAACCAGCTCGTCTCGGTTCTGTCACGATCCTAAAGCCAGTTGATCTCCTGAAGGGGACTGGGTGCCTCTGAGGCTTCACTGGCATAATCAGTTGTCGTCGAGGCTGTGGTGGACGACACAGGGTCAACGCAAGGTTTGTCCTGTAACATATGAGTTATTATAATTATTATTATATTTATTAGCAGTAGTAGTAGTAGTAGTAGTAGTAGTAGTAGAGGTAAGTCACTGAATGCAGCATAGATCCGTGGCTCCACTAACTCAACACAGCCAGGGTAGCTACTTATGTATTAGGATAGTTAATTTTAAGGTAATAAAATGGCGGCGGCTATTGAGGGAGGCTGGAGGCCACGTAGAATAACTACTACTACTACTACTACTACTACTACGACATACTATTACTACTAATGCTGCTGCCATTAATATCATTAATGCTATTATTATTATTAATATTATTAATGTTTGTATTGTCATTTTAACTTCATGAAAAAATACAAACTATGAGACTTCATTTTCCCTGATATCTGCCTGTAAAATAAATTCTGGTTTAGAAAAGGTTCCCTCTTCCATGTTCACGGGAAAAGAAAGAAAATTAAAGTTTATCATAAATAAGTAATTTAGAAATATGTTTTCTTATGTACAGTTGGGGACTTTTCCGACTGGTTCACTGAGCCTTGTCAATCCGCACTCTGTGAGGTGTGAACTCCAAGAGTATCAACTCATGAATCCGAAGCATTTACGAGTGAGGGGTTGAGGGGCTGCCGTGTGGGTGGCCGGGTGGCGGGTTGAGGAGGGTGGTCGGGGGCTTGAGGGATGGGGGAGGTTTAAGGAGTTACTTGTGCAGTTACAACATAATATGCATTAAACAAGGATGTATATATATATATATATATATATATATATATATATATATATATATATATATATATATATATTTAGAGCAAAACACAAATTAAGCCTAGAATGTGTTGCCGCACATTAGGGTGGTATTCCCAGCTTGTGCTTCAGGTTTGAGCAATTATATGCTTTTATTTATTTGTGTAACTCTCACGTAATCTAGGGGTGCTAGAGAGGACGGACTGGAGTCTCTCAATATGGTGTCCTTTTATGACTGACTTTCATGACCCAATAAATAGCGGATGTATTTGATTCTATTTACATAAGCATCAAATTATTAATATTATGTAATATGATTTGCAATAAAATCATACCCAGGAAATTGGCAAACTACGTTTATTATAAATAACATTAATGTGTGAATGACAATGATAAGTCAGTCGACAGCAGTTCCACCTGTTGCAAGCATTTCCTGTTTGGTAATAGTTTTAATACAGTCATGCCGTTTATTTATGGAGTGGTTTACGTTTGTTCTCATTTACAGGTTGATCAGTAGTTGTAGCCTCGTACAGGTCCCTCTCTTATTATGGTTGTGTGCAGGTTAACGCTCAGCAAGGCACCATACAGATGTAATTTATTAGTATTCAACAAAACACACATGAAGGTTATTACAAAGACATATATAACATTATGTTTTAAAAGTCGCTGTAGGGGGCAGCCTTCACACCTCATCAGAGCCTCACCCTCCCCTCTTCCCGGGCTGTGGCAACGCAAGGGAACATTCTTATTCAACACTATTCCAAAACTATGATATTTATGAATGTCTATAAAAAGTTTCAGTTAGAAGATTTAACGAGCGTCATTAACATGGCAGCCAAAGTGTTACGAGTTTGTGACAATGGTTATTCTGTATTTTATCTTGTTTGTCGTCAACTCAAAGCAACATGATACTATTCTACTTATTACGTGTTTCTCTAACATTGATAATCTTTGTTTCATATGTTTTTCTTACCGGCCTTCACTAAATATATACAGTAATAGAGTTACCTGTATATACTGTGGAAGTTTTTGTGGTAGTATAGGGCACTATCCGTTATAAACAGATTAGAAGTATGAGAGATTGAATCATAAGCACTGTGGCACATCACCCCCCAACACATTCCAATGGCGGTTTCAAATCTGTCCGATTCAGTCCTGAAGTAATGATGTATTTCTAAATGAGTTCATTCATAATCATTGGGTTGACCGTTTCTGACGAGAAAGATATTTAGCTAAATTATATAAAGATACATACATTCATTATTTCAATCATACGTACGTAGGAAGATTATCAGAAGTGTTATACATGAATTAGCTGTTAAACTCTGGTAGCAAATTCACGCTTTCAGAGGATGCATTAATATATACTTATTTTTACCCACAATAAGGCAAAAACTAACATTTTACAATATCAGAATCACATTGAAATATTTACACGGCCGTCAGCAGAGGCGGGAAAAATGAAGTTGATCGTAGTCATATTAACTGCACTGTGGCATTGGGCGCTCTCAGTTGCCAACGAAGTTATCCAACCCTCTTTTAGGGGTGTTTTTAGGGTATAAAGAAGCCAAATGCACATATCCCATTGTGTAATAATGCTACACATGTAGACTTAACAACAATAATAATTACGCCTAAAATAATTTCTTCACAGTCAAATTTTACGTCAGGTTTAACAAGCGAGTCCAGTCGACATACTGCCATAGTCTGCCATATGTACGTCAAATAAACACGAAACGTTCTCTATGGTTGTGACACTATTAAAATCAGTATTAGTTTTAAAATTAATAGTACTATTATATGTATAAATCTAATCATATGTGCTTCCCAAGATGGTCAAAAATAATTTTTCATGAGTTGTTAAATTATGTCTTTTTAAACACGTTCGATTTGTACCCATAATTTTCCTCTATAAAATATTTATTACTACAAAGGTATATGACACCTGAGAGATTTATTTCATCAGCCTATTAATATTTGATTTATTAGTATTCTTTTTTAATCAACTATAACGTAACAAAAAATTGAGCTGACAAAATAAGTAAAATGTTGAAGAATTTAGCAAAAGAACGAATTCTTCCTGTGGTTGACTGTCATGGCGTCATCAGTCACCAACCAGTCCCCGCCAGACGAAACCATGTACTGTCTCCTACATAGCGTACTACCGTGAACTGATTCCCACATGTACTTTGTAAAATATTGCTAAAATAATAACGCTACAAACATATAACATAAAAGCTTTGGTGTGGAAAGGTGAGGCAATTCAAAGTGTTATGCCAAGATCAACAGCTGTGAATGTAAACATATTTCTTAAACGTATTAAAAAAATCGGTAATACCAATTATTTCGAGATATTTAATGAATGATTGTGTGATTTAAGTGTTAATTGATAATTGGTGATCTTGCTTAAGTTAAAATTTGTGATCTGTTTAGTGAAAATAAGTGACATCGGGATGACGACACCAGCAAGACCACGAGTGAGTATTTTAACCATTTGGGTAACGAATTGGTTATTATTTTAGGTAAATTTTACTCGTTGCCACTATACGAAATCAAAGTGGAAACCATTTTTTTCCTATGGTTTTGATGTGATATGAACGAATTTGACTATCATTTCTAGCGCAAATCAATAGTTTTGAGATAAGACCACCCCCTCCCCCCATCTCAGAATATAGAGATTTGTTATAAAAATCAAGGTTAAAAGTGTTCAAAAAGCATCGAAAATTATTGGAAAAACAGTTTTGAATGTAACCTAACCTAACCGGGAAGCTCCAACAGTCGTTCGATGTTCTGGGTGTTCCGCCATGCACGAACATACATAATGTAATTTTAAATATCTCGCTTAAACGTGATTTGCGTCACAAATGCCAATGAAAAGGTGTCTTAGAATTGTCAAAACTACCGATTGCAAATATAAAATTCCCGAGAGTCGTTTAGTGGCAACAAGTGAAAGGTAAAATTTCACACCTAATAAAATATTAAATATCTCGTCAATATTTCGAAAATGACACTAGGCAACTGAATATTGAAAATAGGTTTTTTCAGTGTAAATCATCGTGTTAAATACAATATGACCTTCATTGCCGTCGGAAATGAGCAGTAGTTGAGATATTGGATAAGAAAGTAGGTCAAACAATGTAAAAACCTAAAAAAAAAAAATAGAAATACATTACCTAATCTAACCTACCTAACCTAACCCAACCCCTAGTGCATAAGAAACTTACCTTAAGTAAGAGCTATAGGATGATAGAGTGATGCGACTTGAATGAGTAAGTGGCTTTCAGTGGCCGTCTCTTATCACAGTACCATGCATGGTGATCTACACGGTATTGACAGTGAATTACATCTCGGACGTTTTACAGATGAAATAAAAACACCATGAGCCCTAAAAATGACAATGGCTGTTGCTTCATTGTCCAAAATGCGCTGAATAGTGCAGCAGCCAGCCACTGTACATCCATCTCATAAAGACACCATCTTCCAACTGGCCGTGAACGCTGATTAGCGCATGAGTAGCATGAGTATTACGTCACATCAGCACTTGGGCTGTTTTGCGCTCACGACTATGACGTCACATCAACACGCGCTGATTGGCCAAATATTATACTTTTCCTTTTCTACTTTTACTCGAAAACTATGTATTTCCGACGGAAACGTTATGGAATAAATTATTTTTATTTTTATTTATCTCCCCATATATGACTCAATATTCAGTTACCTCGTGTCATTTTCTAAATATTGACCAATATCTTGCTTATACGTACATAATTTGCACCAGAAATGCCATTGAAGAATAGTATCCTGGAATTGTCAAAACTACCGATTGCAACTATAAAATTCCCGAGATTCATTTAGTGGCAACAAGTGAAATACCCTGATTCCAAAAATGTGATTCTATCTTTGGAGAATAAATAATCAGAAAATGACAGTACTATAACTATAGTATTTTGTACATTTGGCTTATATTCAGAAATACCTAATCTTGTATTGAATCAATGTTGTCATCTGCTTTCCACATGTCGCCGAGTATAGTAGACTCGGGAAGAATACGAGCCTTTATGCATGATTCCAGGGTTTCTCTGTTTCTCCAATCCACGGCATAGAGAAACACATCTCGAGTTTCTCTACAAATTCTGCCCAAAACCTATTGTTCTGGGAGTGTCCTTCCACGGTTGTACTTCCGTTTCCCAAATGCGGTTTCATTGATCTCAACTGTGCAAATTGGCCCACCAACTTTCTTTGGATTCTTTAAAATTTCATTTGCACA